TTTATTTTAAAAGTCTAAAGTCCCCCTGAAAATGAGAAAATCATCGTTGTTCAATGCTGTAGCCCACGTGTCGTTTACATTGCGACCTCTCTAACTAGGGAGTACCAATATGGCAGCCGGTGGCTTCACTTCAACCCCGTTGGACTCCGTTTCCCATAATGCTCCTGTACCTCTGAGCGGGCGGTCCATCCATGATGATGTTGATCCACAGGATCTGCATGGCATTCAGAGGGTTGGGGAAGTTCATCAGCGTTGCCAAGGAGATGAGCGTCAGCGCCGCGATGCTCCTGGTCACCAGTAGGGGGAGACGCACTGTTAGAGCAGGTTTATTTATAAACCAGAAACCAGAGGAGAGTCGGACTCACGTGCTCAGCTGGAAGCGGACAAAGTTCTTGATGTTGTTGTAAATCCCTTTTCCCTCCTCGATGGCCGACCTGGAGGCAAAGGATTAATTCATTAATGTGGCTAACTGACCGAGCTAAAGGAGGCTAACCTGTTAGCTACTGAGCACAGTTAGCCACAGCGCTACCCAGCTCTCCTCCTTTATATCATGGTTTAACAGTTACTTTGTTCACCAGAAACAGATCTTTTTAAATTTGTTATCAATCAAGTCAGTCAACCATTAGATACGCTGACATAACAGAAGCTCCCGACTCAGCAAACGGACGCTGCGTTATTTTATTATCGTCGTCTGGGCAACCACAATATTTTACGTCTTGTGGCATCAATCATAAAGCGTAACGTATTTGATGGGTTGAATAAATAAAGGAGAGCAGCAACAAGGTGCAATGGATAAGAAAAAGGAATGTTGTGCTGTTTAGATGCTAGGCTACCTCCCAGCATGCACCAGGTGCGGCTTACGGCAGAGCAGCAACTCACATGATGGTCTGGAAGTCGTCGTCCACCAGGATCATGTCGGCCGCCTCCTTGCAGACGTCAGTGCCGGTCTGGCCCATCGCCACACCGATGTCGGCGGCCTTCAGGGCCACGGCGTCGTTAACGCCGTCGCCCGTCATGGCCACCACAGCGCCGAGGTTCTGCAGCGACTGCAGAGGGGGAGAACTTAAGCGTTAAATGATGCAGGTTTCTGTTCTGCTCTAATTTCAGCAGAACGTCTCGTCGTTGTGGGTCCGCTCGTTTTCCACGGCGGCCGAGTCGTTCTCACCTTGACGATCTTCAGCTTGTGCCTGGGACTGGCTCGATAAAACACGGCGATCTGAGAAGGGAAAGCTTCATTTAATGGGAGCGCAAAGGAGGCGATGGGAGGCAGAAGATGGAGAAAAGTGTGCGTCTCACTCTGGGAACAACGTTGGACAGCTCCTGCAGGTCCAGATGATCCACCTCCTCTCCTGACAAACACTGGCTTCCTTTGGAGTAGAGGCCCAGACGGCTCGCTGCAAACAAACACAGCTGCACCGTTAAACGTTCGTCTCCTGATTATTAAACATCACATGAAAGGTCGGATCCATTTCTGATTTTTGTCCGTTTCTTGTTGTAGCATTTTTTTTTCTTCTCTTTTCCAGCTGATAAAAATGTGAGAGCGGCTGAGAGCTCTCAACTTTAGATTCATCTAAGCTAATTTTATCCCTGCTTCTTAATTCGCAGCTCTTGCCCTGTGAAATTTGGACCCTTTTTGTTGGCTAAGAATTTGTATTTATTTAGTTTCTGAACATTTAAATACAAAAAAATGAAACGAAATTTTTTTGGTGGATTTATGGGTAAAAGAAAGGTAACTTTCTGAACCAAGGGGTCTGCTAGCAAACCATCTGGGTGGATATAGAAATAGTAAACCATGACGCTGCGATCTGGTCTGAAGCAATCAATGGTTTGGAAGCAGCTCGTCTAAAACGTGGGACAGCAGAGACTCTCTGACCTATAGACACCGCCGTCTCCTGGGAGTCTCCTGTGATCATCTTGATGGCCACCCCAGAGTTGATGAGCGTAGCGACGGCCTCTTTGACGCCTTCCCTGGGAGGGTCGATGATGCCCACCAGACCCAGGAAGGTCAGGTTCCCCATCTGTGACCCCGAGGCGAAGGCCAGAACTGGGAGACAAAAAACGGAGATCAGAGCGAAGCTGAAGAGACACAAGCTCTGCAAACGTTCCCCGACCATTACCTCTGAGCCCCGAGGTGCCCATGTAGCTGATCTGCTGCTGGTAGAGCTCCCTCTGCTGGTGGTTCAGAGGAAGAGCGGATCCTCTGCTGTTGTAGGAGCTGCAGAAGCGGATCACCTGCTCGTAGGCTCCTTTCACAAAGTAAACGCCAGTCTTGTCCTGAGAGGGAAACGGAGTTAGAACCAGAAGGATGCAGGAGACGGATTCTAGACGGAACGGTGGACGGATCCGGACCTGCTGAGTGCGGTGAACGCAGCGGACAGCCATCCATTTCTGCTCAGAGGAGAAGGGGTTCTCCTCCAGACGGACGTACTCCTGGTGCACGCTCTCCAGGCCCATCTGAGGAGAAGCACAGAACCCTCACCGGTTTAGTGGCCCATCAGAGGCGCAGAGGTTAGAAGAGTTTTAATTATCTCCAGAATCAGGAGGTGAAACAGTTCAGAACCAGAACCAGGGATCAGACCGGTGGCTGGCGTTGGACCAGTCTTACCTTCATAGCGAGGGCGATGAGCGCTCCCTCTGTGGGCCGGCCCAGAAGGTTGTGGTTCCTGATGACCGAGTCGTTACACACGCAGCCCACCTAACAACAACAGGCCGCATTTTCAGGCGACGCCGTCAGTTTTTCTTCACCAGACAGACATAGAGACGTTTGGGATTTTCTGGAACTCACCTCCACAATTTTGCTGATGGAAGGGTAGGAGAAGCCGTGGACGATCTCTCCGTCCAGCAGCACCTCGCCGATCCCGTTGTAGCCCACCCCCGTCACCTGGAAGACGACACCGAGGGTAGAATCATTCTGTTAGCTGATCCCTGAGGTTTTCAGAGTCACTTGGTTCACGGTGGATCCCGCGGGCTCTAACCTCGGCGTGGAGTCCGTCCGATGTGAAGATCTGGGTCACCGTCATCTCGTTCTTGGTCAGCGTCCCCGTCTTGTCTGAGCAGATCACGTTGCAGCAGCCTAGCAGAGACAACAGCAGGAACGTTAATCCGGATGACGTTCTGGATCTGCCACCATCATCGTTTGATGATGTTCTAGGCCGACACTACCCAGTGGGTCGGGCATTGCGCTTGGGTCTTAGATAGGGATGCACGATATAATCGGCCCCCTATCGGTATCGGCCTTAAAACTGAATATCGGACATCGGCCACCCCACCGATATTTAACCCGATAT